AATGTGTCCCAGCCCCCTTAGATGTAAGACTACAGTTACACTGGTGCATTTATGTTTTAAAATGAAAACGATCCTCGTCATACTGCCGTTTCCACTGCGTTTCAAGCCTGCTTTCCACTATCTCCGACAAACGACAAGCAACAGACTGTTAATTCAGTCATTCATTTCCAATGGAGAGTAGCGCGGGATCTGCGTGGAGTTCCGATCATATGCAGATGTCCATTCATACTACACGACCGAAGCGCGTGTTATGTGACCATTCATGCAAACTGTAGCATCATGCTACATAAGACAATAAATAAAATTTATATTCCACTTCTACTCAAAACTCACTTTAAACCACCATCGAGTGTTTGTAATAACTTCCGATTGCCGTCTAATGTGTGTTTTGGCCATGTAATGTTGCTGAAATTAAATATGTTATTATCTCTGCTCTGACTCTGATCATGGGAGAACACAGGCAGACAGCGCTGGAAGCTGCTAATGCTGAAGCGTTTTAAAACGAACACGCACTCGTGTAAATGTAGCCTAACAGATGTGTAAACTGAAGACTATTTGAGCTTTATTAAAACTATTTTGCACTGATTTATTGTGTTGGTTACATTTTGTTCCTTTGTGCAGTGGCTCAGGAGATGAGTCAACAAGCTAAAAAATAAAACCAAAATTTTTTTTTTTCGAAAAATTTTGACCGATACCCAGCCGTAGTGCAGTGTGGTAGAAACTGGCTTACTTTACAACTACTACTGGTTGTAATTTTCACTGTGTTTTGTTTTTGTGACCAGTAGTTCCTAAGTTCACCTAGAACCACCAGAGCACAAATATTAGTTCTTTTACACTATTGGCAGGTCCTGGATGGTCACAAAGCAACATTATTATTCATGAGATTTGTCCTTAGTCATAAGTAAGATTCATAAATTCATCTTTTTTTTTCCAATCTTGGTATCAGCTTGTTACTACAGTACTGGTACTTTTGACTTTCCTGTTTTAGACTGCTCACTCTCTCATTGTGAACATTAACCAGTTTTGAATGAGGCTTGAATGAAAGAGTGGTTTGGGCCAGACTGTGTCCAAACTAAAAGCTTGTTATTCAGGATTACATATGATTTGTTCAGGTTCTTAAAATATTATCTGTTGATGCACATAATGTATTTGCATGTGCGCCCCAGTCACCTTCGGCTATGGTGTGTTTGTTTGCAGACTGCCCAGCGCAAGATAAGGGAGATCGTTCAACAGGTGAAACAGCAAGAGCGGAAACACCAGCAAACGGTGCCAACACCTTCACAACCATCAAAATGATCAGCGGACACCAGCAAGCAGCAGCTAATGAATGTAGCTCATGCGAGGACAAAACGAAATTCAAGAAATAGACAAAGGGAGAGTGAGACAGAGCGGGAAACAGAGAGAGACAGAAGCTGATGAAGAGGACCAGCAGTTTAAAACAACCGAAGTACTTAAAGCACAAAAACGTTTGGTCATGCGGATATGAATGAGGATGATCGAGAGCGTTATCAGGTCAGAGATCTTTTTATGACCATGGACCTGATATTTCATATTGAGCTCTTTTTGTTACTGATTAAGCTGATGTGAGGATTTGTGCGCCGTGAAGTAGACTGCTGGATGAGGTGAATGCACACTGCAGGTAGATTTTATAGGACTTGCAGGTCTAGTTGTGCATCAGATCTACTAATTTATTAGGAGATATAATAAATTGCACAGCAATATGTTAATAAGATTCTAAAAACAATTCTATAGGTTTATTCAACAGAATTTTCTTTGGAAACTCATTTCAGGCTATTTAATGTGAGTAATCAGATTTGTTTGACTTTTCTAGTAACTAATTAGTACAGCACGGTAACTAAAAGCATTAAGTGATGTTACAAAGGAACGTACATGTAAAAGGGTGCCTGCTGTGTGCCAGCATTTCACTTCCAGTTCCTCGTTTGCATTGCTGAGTCTGAGCATTTCTCCTCTGCTTGCTGCCCTGTTCTCTTTTCTCTTTTTTTAAATTATATTGCTTTCTCTTAAATGTTTCCATGTTCCCGACTTATTTGTCACACAAAATAAGAGCTGTCTGTGTGCCAACTGTAAAAAAAACAACAACAAAAAAACAGTGCAGTCCCTAAAGAGAGGTAGATCTAGATACTTTGGGAATCTAACGTTGATATCCTGTACTCCCCACTTATTACACCTTACACTACTGTTCAAAAGTTTGTGGTCAGTATGATTTCTTTATTTTTTAAAGAAAATATTTTCTATCCTGCAAGGATGCATTAAATTTATCAAAAGTGACAGTAAAGACATTTATAATGTTGCAAAAGATTTCTATTTTTAAAGTTTTAAAACTTTAACTTTTAAAAGAAGAATCCTGAAAATAAGTATCATGGTTTCCTCAAACATATGAAGCAGTACTTGATATTTGTTTTTTCAACATTGATTATAATAAGAAATGATTCTTGAGCGGCAGATCAGCACATTAGACTGATTTCTGAAGGATCATGAGACACTGAGGACTAGAGTAATTCAGCTTTGCATCACAGGAATATATTACTTTGTAATGTATATTCCCATAGAAAACAGTTATTTTAAATTATAATATTTCAGAATATTACAGAAGATGAAAAAATTCTTACAAGCCTGAACTTTTGAATGGTAGTGTATGCACATGAAAAAGCTGAGTTTCGTGTTCAATCTGCACCTTGTCTGTAGGTCCTGTAACGGGAGCCCATGGGGAGTCCTTGAGGTCTTCCTGACACTCGTGAATGTATATGATGCAAATGCCTTCTGCAAACATGTACTTTCTGTGTAGCAAACATAATTTATCTTTCCCCCCTCTGGTTTCACGTGCTGAGATGAGTGCACACAAGTGTGTTTGCATAAGGGAATGTATGCATAGACCGAGACAACATAAATGTCTATAAATGCATTTTTGACAAAAGAGAAGAGCAAAGCCAAGACAAGGTGTTTTTTTTTAATCGTTTGTAAAGACGTCCCATTTTTTCGTAATATATAAAGGTGATGTGATTGGTGAGGGATGATGTCATTAAGCCTTTTAATGTTGCACATCTGAAAGGCTAATGGAATAAAAAAAAATTATGTAATGTGTATATAGGTGACAGTTCAAAAATATTGGTTTTAGTATTTCTTGACTGATCAAATGCAAACAGCCAGCATTGCAGTACTGTACAGTCATAGAGCGTAACATTGATTTAAAGCAACTGATAAAACCATGATTGAGACATGAAAATTATATATTGAAAGTCCACGCAGCTTTGTGTGAACCAGTACAATATACCGTTCTACCTCAAGAACAGGGTACCTCAATCTGATCTTTTCTCCCTTTTGCATATTTTGTATACCTTGTAAAGCTCTCAAACTTAGAGCATTTTTAATTTTTCTAAATAAAAGAACAAGAAGAAAAAAAGGGTTAGCGCAAGGCACCAACTTGGCCTGCTTGTTCTTGCGAAAGAGGTTTCAGAAACTGATTGTTGCTTTATGAACCGTTTGACTCAAATGGGCTCTTGAGGTCAATGCAACTCTTGAGCAACTGAACGTTTGTGTTGACAGTACTTTGTTTCTTGCAGTTTATGTTTGAACTGAAATAACTGTCTTGACAGATATATAGTGTCTAAGAATACAGCTTAATCCAACCATATGCAGTGTTCTTCAACCTGTATTTAGAACATTATCTTTACGTTACTCTGTTACAAATGGCTCTGTAATTTTTCTGTTTTGAAGGTCATATCTGATGAGTTGGCCAATAACAAGTCAGTTTTGAATGTTATTCTAACAGCATATTTGTGAGGTTTTATTATAAGAATAATCTCCGCCAGTTTACTGCTGAATGTTAGCATAACAATATTAGACACAACTGAATTTGATCCTATCAGTTTGGGTTTCTGTAGTAAAATTTTGCTGTGTCAAATGGGAGGGATGTCCAGCAGTCTCTCTTCTCATATCATTTACAAAGAAAACATGTACATGAAACCTAGTCTTTGCTGTATTACTTCTGCAGCCGTCTCTGAGTCCGTTTCTCTTCACATTCTACCATGTTCAAAATGTCTTTATTGACCACTTGTACCGTGAATACTTCTGGGTGTTTGATAAGCCTGTCCCTTATCTGATCAACTCTTATAATAATGTCACACAATGTAAAAATGGGTAAACAAACTAATTTCAGATCTGGGCAAAAGGGGGACATATTCCATTGGTATACTACTGGCTCTAGCCAAGTGTGGGTGAGTTGGGGACAATAGGAGTGTGAGTGAACAATCATGAATACACATCTGTTTTTATGTTTTTATGTCTTCACATGGATATTAGAAATAAACAGTCTTTAAAATAATGTTGTTGTTGTTTTCTTCATCTTTGTATCAATATATCGTTTACTTGTGTCATTAGCTTAAAGATTCTGTGGAAGCTTGTTTCCGCCACAAAAAAAAAAGGTAATTGATCATTTTTATCTCGCAATTCATATTTTCTTACCGCAATTATAAGTTTATCTCACACTTCTGGCTCTTGTTTTTCTCTAAAAATGTCAGAATTCTGACTTTTTTTTTCCACTTGCAATTTCAAGTCTGAATTTCGAGTAGATCATTTCTACTTTTTATCTCACAGTTCTGACTTATCAGAATTGCAGATTTATGCAATTACTTTTTTTTTTTTAAATCTCAAACAATGTCTGAACTATGAGATAAAAAGTCACAATTACCTTTAATTTTTTTTTTATCCCAGGGCAGAAACTGGCTTCCACAAGATGCTAAAGTGAACCCTTGATTTCTGTTGGAATATATTAATACACTATATTAATAGAATATCACAATATTCTTATCCTGCAGTTATACTTCCATGCATTTTTACACATAATTTGATCAGCATAAAATATGCACCCATAGAACTCTCTAGAAATAGTTTGGCTAATTTTATTATGCTTTCAGCTGCCAATATGGTATAATTATATCACTCATTTCAGCAATTTTACCATGTATACATCCATTCCACATAATTTAACATATAGGTTACAATAAGATGTTAAATAGCTTCAAATGTTTTTATTATTGAATTTAAACTGCATGAAACTTTTTAAGTACTGCTTAGTTGTGAAAACAGCCATTATAACTTGGTTATAATAGAATTATAACTTTCAAGCACTCAATCAGCAGTTTTTAATGCAAAAACTAAACCTTAACAACTTATGTACACATTAAGACATTGATTTATTTTTCCATAAATGGCTTAAAACAGGACAGCTACTGTAATGCAGTAATTAAATGTGTAAAGGTTAAGCTGCATCTGAAGCTGAATGGATGAGATATATTTAAAGTGCCATTTTATGCTGTAAATTTAAACACTGCATTAATACTGCCTTACTGTCCAAAACAGGTCATTAGTAGTGTGCGTTTTTATTTTTTTGTAGCTAGAAATGAATTATGCACATGTGCAAGTATAACAAAGCAAGTTGTATATGTATGACCAAGTCAGTTATCAATCCCTGAATGTACTATGCAACTCCAAAAGATTTAGGCGATCATGTAAATGATCAGTGCACAAGTCTATATTTAAGGCATGATACTAACTTGCAAATAAAAGAACACCCTGATAGGACGCTTGAGGATAATGAATATAATATCTAATAATCTTTAAAAATCACTTTAGTGGTATGCACCTTATTTTTCAGCGCAGAAGTAAGCTATGAATTTGCAAATCCTGATTCATTAGCTGGTATAGGTAATAACAAGAAGAATAACAAGTGCAGTAATTGAAAAACTATTTGTGCTACAAACCAGTGTTTATATTGACTACATTCTGTTGAAATAATATTACAAGAATGACATGGCAAGCCTCGCATATTCAAGTTACAAATGGCTGCATCTCTTTTTAAGTTATAAAGTTGGATACAGTTTAAGTAAAACTGTAGTACTACTTTTAAATACAAATATTTTTATGTAATAAATTACTTTTTATGTGCAGGTCTTGAGCAGAAAGATTTTGTTACCCTAGAGCTATTTACATGGGGGGGGGGGGCAAACTTATCAGTTCTATTTTGGTAAAATGTGTAAACACTCAAAAACACATGGAACTTAGTTATTTACAGTTTCCACAACTAAATAAAGCCATAAACACACATAAAGCTACAAACAAACATCGTCACTAAACAACATTTGAAAACATAAGTAAATATTTTTTGCTTCAATAAAAAAACAAAGGCTAGGCCGTCAGATTAATTTTTTCCTATATAATGAGGCAATGTCCAGTGTTATATATGTAACGTCGGCAATTATAGACATTTGGTAATTCATATTTTCTATTTCTTTCCATGTCAGTTCCACTCTGCATTCAGACATTCATAACCAAATCCTCAGCTGTAACTCCAGACCAATGATCAGTCCCATATTAACAGACTGCAGTCTCTTCTTCTGTGTGTCTTCGGTTCATCTAGTCTTGCGATCGTTCAGGACCTTTTGGTGTCCATTGGGTTCCAGGCCATCAAGTTTGAGGCGGGCCTGACTATAGCGGCGGATCAGAGCTCCAGGAAGTAGAGCCACACACGCAATCAACAGGAGCTGAAACAGGGTCCTCCAAGAAAAGATGTCGTCCAATGAGTGGATCTCAGACAAGATGGCACCCGTACGGACACAGATAAAATTATAAGGGATTAGACCTAGGAAGAAAATAAGCCTTTAAGATCATAAGGGTTGTTTTTCTCCAGAAGCTGTATTTTTACTTAATAATTGTTTAGATTCTGGCCACCTAAAAACTATAGAAGCTCAAAATGGAATCATTAGGAAAATTTAGAAGAAGAAAAAACTGTAGAATTGCAGTGGATTGTAAGTACACCTATAACATAAAAATACATGAATGTATAACTGAAGATGTACTGTAAGCTCACCAATGAGGATGGAGAAAAAGAATATGGGGATGGGGATGTTGAGGATTGGAGAGGTGACATTCAGAAACCAGTTTGGCGTCATGGGAAAGAACCGCAGAAAGAGCAAGAAGAAGAACAGACTACTCCTGTTCTCTTCCACCTAACATAGAGAGATTCATCATGTGCTCATGTTGCATTATGTTTCAACTCCAGAGTATTATAATATGAAAATAATGATTATGATCAAGGTTGCCAAATTGAGCTATTTTAAACATATATTAAATATAATTACAAAGTATCCCTTACTATATATATATATATATATATATATATATATATACTTTGGGATAATTTTATTTGGTAAACTTAAGTTCAAATATATTTTCCAAGTATACAGTATTCTATGTACTAAGTATACTAAAATCAATATAATAGTATACTGCTTATTTATTAATTTAGCAGACATTTGAAGTAAATTGGCCCACATTTTAGTTTATAAAAGTATACACTTTAGTGTACTTTAAGCATAATAGAAGTAAACTTTGAGTACACAAGTTTTTTCCTGTATTGTAAATATACTGTGAACTACAAGTGAACATATTCTGTTATAATGCTAGTTTACTAGTTATATGCATCTATCCCACTAGTTTATAAAAGTACAAGTATACTCTCTCAGTAAACTAATTAACAGAAAGTTTAATAGTTTTTAAGCTGCAACTTTCTTTAAGTGTACTCAACATTTTATAGTTTACATTGAAAGAAATTAAATCAGCCAAATGTTTGTCTGTTTATACAGTGTCCAAAAAGATCAGGTTTAGTTCCACCTATGTACTATTTACTCTAGCTATTCCACCCAAAGCTGACTTGGGTGACACTTTATTTTAAGGTGTCCTTGTTACAGTGTAATTATACATTTAAGTACTGAGTAATATTAATTAACTACATGTACTTACTATATGGTTAGGGTTAGGATTAGGGTTACTTGCATGTAATTATGCATAATTTATTGTTATTATAAATAGTAAGTACATGTAAAGTGTAACAAGGGCACCTTAAAATAAAGTGTTACCCTGACTTGTTATTTCATAAGTCACATAAGAATGAACTTACTTCATAAATCAAGCCAAGTTTAATATTAGAACACTAATACTAAATTATACTTTCTTAAATTAATCTCAAACTAAAGATTAGGCACAAGCATGGGCCTAATATACGTTTCTGTATGCTATATATATGTATAAGCGAAGTATACTTAAGTATAATATTAAGTATATCTATGATAAGTAGATAAACAGTAGACTGAAAGTATGCTATTATATTGTAGGTTAAAAGAAGTATACTAGAAGCACACCTGAATAAACTTTTTGTATATTAAGGCCTGTTCACACTAAGAACAATAACTAACAGCAAGAACTATAACTATATTAGCATCCACACTGAGGCACTAATGTGCTGCAAATACCTTGTTGGCCACTTTAAATGCTTGAGCTCTAAAGCATTAAAAATGGATTCAGGATTGATGATCAGCAAGAAAAAAAAAAAAGTAGTTCTATATTGTTACTCTATTTTACACTATATTGTTGTGTTGCTATCATGATAGTTGTGCTGTGTACTCAGTACAGTATAAACAGACAAAATGCAAAGTCACACATATATTCACTGACTATTTTTACAACATTCATTAATGGGAAATACCTCTATCATGTGCTAAACACCCAGAGGTGACCCACCATTTTCTGCAGCATGGCCACCTTCTCAGGGAAGAGCCTGGCGATGTGGCGTTTGCCAAATGTACGGGACAGCAGGTAGCAGTTGGTGGAACCCACAGTAGTCAAAGTGCAGGCGATGAGGAGTCCATGCCATGGCCCAAATAATGCCCCCGCCAGCATGTTCTAGACATGACAAGAAAAATTGACAGTAAAGGCTTTTTTATTAGGTCATCAGCTACATACAGTCACATATTATATATAAATAACTGTACTGTTTGTATATATAGTAAGCGTCCCTTGTGAAAAAGAAGTACCATTTCCATCCTTCAACACCAAAAAGTGGTAACCTGCAGTTATTACCCTAAGGAGCTCTTTCTGCCTGATTTAACCCATAAATATTTGCTTTGTTCATATAAATAATGTATATCTGTTTGTTCAGAAAATAATATTTATAAAATAATAATAAAATCAGTTAATTTAGTTAGCATGTTTAGGTTACCATTTCAGTATAAAAATCAAAGTACTTTAAGTACTTAACTTAAAAATTGACACTTTTAATGTATAGTGTTTTACATTTATTTCACATTTAAAAATGTATTTTTACATTTAAATGTAATGTAATGTTGTGGTTTAAATTTATATTAAATGCAACGAAGGGTTTTTGACTCTTGACCCTCTTAAGTATTACTCAAGTAGTTGTCTTTAAAAGATGGTTCAAGTGTACTGCTGAATGTATTGACAAGCATTTATGTTCAACTAAAATATACTTTAATGTCATGTCATGTTGACACTTGTGTCATGTATTTGAATATTTACATTTACATTTAGTCATTCAGCAGATGCTTTTATCCAAAGCGACTTACAAATGAGGACAATGGAAGCAATCAAAATCAACAAAAGAGCAATTATATGCAAGTGCTATGACAAGTCTCAGTTAGCTTAACGCAGTACACGTAGCAAGGTTTTATTTAATTATACAATAAATAAAAAGAAAAATAGATAGAATAGAAAAAGAATAGAACAAGCTAGTGTTAGAGGCCTTTTTTGTGCTTTTTGTTAATTGTATAATAAATAAAAAGAAAACAAATAGGCCTAAATAGAATACAAAAAGAATAGAGAAGCTAGTTAGTTTTTTTTTTTAAGAAAACAAGCAGTAAATAAATAGAGCGCAAGTCTAAAAGGAGCAATTTTTTAAAATAATAGAATTAGAATAGAGAGTGCTAGAGTTAAAGGGTCAAATAAAGATGGAACAGATGTGTTTTTAGCCGTTTCTTGAAGATGGCTAAGGACTCAGCTGCTCGGAATGAGTTGGGCAGGTCATTCCACCAGGAGGGAACATTTAATTTAAAAGTCCATGAAAGTGATTTTGTGCCTCTTTGGGATGCACAATAAAGCGCCGTTCACTTGCAGAATGCAAGCTTCTAGACAGCACATAATTTTGAAGTAATGAATTTAGGTAAAGGGGTGCAGAGCCAGTGGTGGTTTTGTAGGCAAACATTAATGCCTTGAATTTTATGCGAGCAGCTATTGATAGCCAGTGCAAACTGATAAACAGAGGTGTGACGTGCATTCTTTTCGGCTCGTTAAAAATGAACCTTGCTGCCACGTTCTGGATTAATTGTAAAGGTTTGATAGAACTGGCTGGAAGACCTGCCAAGAGAGCATCGCAATATTCCATTCTGAACAGAACAAGAGCTTGAACAAGGAGTTGTGAAGCATGTTCCGAAAGAAAGGGCCTGATCTTCCTGATGTTGAATAAAGAAAATCTGCAGGACCGGGTAGTTTTAGCAATGTCGTCTGAGAAAGTTAGCTGATCATCAATCACAACTCCAAGGTTTCTGGCTGTTTTTGAAGGAGTTATGGTTGATGTGCCTAACTGGATGGCGAAATTGTAATGAAATTATATATTTGATGGAACCACAAGCAGTTCTGTCTTGGTAAGGTTGAGTTGAAGGTGATGGTCCTTCATCCAGCAAGAAATGTCTGTTAGACAAGCTGAGATGCGAGCAGCTATCGTCGGATCATCAGAATGGAATAAGAGGTAGAGATGAGTGTCATCAGCATAGCAGTGATATGAAAAGCCATGTTTCTGAATGACAGAACCTAGTGATGCCATGTAGACAGAGAAGAGAAGTGGACCAAGAACTGAGCCCTGAGGCACTCCAGTAGTTAGATGTTGGGACTTGGAAACCTCACTGCTCCAAGATACCTTGAAGGACCTATCTGAGAGGTAAGACTCAAACCACTGGAGTGCGGTTATATATATTTATTACATATTTGTAATGATGTAGCCGCAATTTAGTACCATTAGTACTGTGTATGTTAGTCAGCACATCAGAATAAGTATACTTTAAAGCATTATTAAAACATAATGAATTAAAATGTACTTGAAACTTAATTTGACATTATTACAAAGTGCACTTTTTAAAATGTAAGAAACTGTCATGAAAGTGTACTCTCTTTACACTTTTCTGAACTACATTATAAGTGCACATTCAATACAATTAAGCACACTTCTATGCAGGGCTGGACTGGGACAAAAAATCGGCCCTGGCATTTTTTGGACTGCTCAAATAATTTTGACTGGTAGTGTATGTAGTGTCTTCTTCTCCTCCTGCCTTACTCTTTGGCCCGCATCACTCACCGCAGAGCAAGCCTGTTCTTGATAAATCTGTTGTGAAAACATGGGAAATGCCGACGAGGAAGAAGTTGGGGTGATGCGATCTTTATATCGGCGGAGCAAAATACTTCATCGCTCCGTCTGTAGCGCATTGTGATTGGATGTTTTACTCTGTCAATACAGGAGACAAACCAATGGGCCACTGGCTGCTCACTGTCCCTGCGTGATGGTCCTCGGCAAAAAAAAACAAAAAACATTCTGTCGCCCCCTTAAGTGCATCGGCCCACTGGGAAAATGCCCGGTATGCCCGATTACCAATCCAGCCCTGCTTCTATTGGATTATGTCCAGGAAAGGAAACATGATGTAAATGGCATTTAGAGAAACTGGTGATAAAGCTTTTATTTCAGTCTAATGAGGTGTTTTCAAGCAGGTCTACTAATAGTATCACAGAGTAGACCTCTGTTACCAACCAAAAAGGATGAGCCTGGAATGGCGAAGGACTGCTTGTAGAGGTAGGCACTGCAAAAGAGGATGAACACATATCCAGTGTGTTCTGTCTTATAGAACTGCAGCAGCTCAGCTAGTTCCCTCAACTCATCCAGATCAGATGGGAACTTCAACCTGGAGAAAATATAAGACATTGTGAGATCAGTAAAATAATGGCACCGAACTTGCATGTTTCTCTTGTAATTTCTAACAGATTGTCGAGTGGCTGTCCTCTTCCTATCAACCCAATTGCTTTCCCTTACAAAAACCAGCAGAGACTGATATGATGGAGGAAGAAGGTTTTAATCAATATAATGAGTGGATACTGTGGGCTTAAGCTATATGACCTGAATGTACCCTAGTAAAAAATTATGTATTTAAAATAAATTTATTTCATACTAAGTATTGTTCAAATTATTAACATATTTACTGACTTATTTCTTGAGACTTACTGATATAAAAATTTAATTAGCTAAACTTTATTTGGAGACTTGTGCACAATGCACATTTTATTATTATTACACAATATTAAGACTATAATGCGTTTTAATGTCACTATTGATGATGATTGTATGACCTTTGAATAATATCGGTCTTTAAATGCAAGATATTTAAGTGTACCTAAAGTATACTTGCAATAGTTCCACTTTAGCACAATCAAATATACTTCAGTATATCTTTAGCACTTCAGCACTGCTTCCGCACAATTAAAGTGCATTAAGTGTACATAAATATGTGAATATATTTGTAGTATACTTAGCATGAAATAAATGTATTTCAAATACATTTTAGTATATTTATTGTTCACTGGGATAATGATCTGAAAAAGCTCACTGTTGCCCTCTGGTGAGATGCTGTGGTGACCTGCAACTGTTACTTTAAAGCAGTGTTTCTCAACCTTGGAGACACAAAATGTGCAGTGATGGGGGGCGCCCAGGACCAGGGTTGAGAAACACTGCTTTAAAGAGTTATTTCTACATGATTTAACCTACGTAATTTGGTGATATAAATTAATGTTTAGGTTGATTCAGTTATATTAAATAACATTTCTGACTTAAATAAAAAGTCTGTTTAAATGGCTGAAGTTCATTCATGGGTGAGGCTCTGTGACCACAAGCTGGTACCATGATGGTACTCCAGGAAGTCTGACAAAATAAATGTTTTTTAAACAAATACAATATTGCTTTAACTTTGACCAAAGATGAAGTTAAAGCGATAAGTTCATCCAAAAATGTCATAATTTACTCACCCTCATGCTTGCTCAAACCTGCATGACTTTGTTTCTTCTTCAAAAATATTTGAAAAATGCTGAGAACCAAACAATGGAGGTTTAGGATGACATGAGAGTGAGTAAAATATTAATTTTTAATAATCTAAATGTTTCATTGTTCCTTACATATTAAAATATATTACATAAAAAAATGTAAAGTACACGACTGTATAATTATATTAATAACTGGTAATTGTTATAAAATGGTGTATTTAGGCTCAGTATTATTAAATAACATTTTTGACTTAAAGTCATTACTTCCCTTTTTAGGTTTGCATTTTTTTAAGTGCACAACAGACTTGAAATCACTTGAAGGATTCTTGAAAACGGCTGAAGGCCCCTGATCAAGACACTAGCCTGTCAGCAAGATGAGACAGAAAGACCAAAATCTGCCCTCAGCTTGCGTGAAGGAATGAAATATGATACACCAACGGGACAAAAATAGCCTCTCAGCTGTGAAAATACGCTAGTGTGTGTGTGTTTTGGCTGTACTCAATGGCCAGACTGTTTAAAACATCTTCAAACACACCTAACATGATCATCAATAAATATGTGGATGTACCACAGACTGGATTTCTCGTGTGGTGTGCTGGCTCTTACCAGCAGATGAATCACATATTGTGCAGTCGTGAGTAATCTAAGCTCCTTACTGCCATCCAGGGGGTAATTTGGGCACGCAATGGGGCAGTATTCCTCACCCATGTGCCAAAGCAGAGGTTTTAATTTCACATACATACCCAGTGTGATGAATATAAACATGTGATATGCTCCATGCTGAGTGCACAATGAGTATGTTCCCACAAGTACAACAATATGAGAGCCTTCAGTGGCAGAGTCAATAATCAAAACTCTTTTTTGAAAAGTCCTGACATGTTCAGACTATTTAAGCCTATTCTTCTTAAAACAGCTGATTTTTATGTCTACATCACTGTAAAACATGATACATGCACATGTGTTAACAAAATTTCCCCTCTCTTATAACCATGGGAATTCCCACCAAAAGATTCAAACAGCTAGCAGTACACAGGGCACAGCTGTCTCTGCCATCACTGCTGAACAACATGTGAAAAACTTCATCTCAGCCTCATCAGCAGATATTCTCCAGGGTACAGAGGAGTGAGCTAATCAAGACATGAACCAAGACATACAGGTCACAAGACACTATGGAAAGGTCAGATCTTTGGACAGAATGTGATGATGGTAGACATACAGCAGATCCGTTACCCAATTTGAAACTCCAGTGTCCTTTCCACTGTTTTTGTTATTCTAAATATCTGGATGACTTCAGAAAGTGACATATACTGTAAGCACACAGGGCTTTTGAGACCTCTCTCCTTTTTTTTATTCATGCGATTTAGTTTAGCTTGTCATGCCAGACATACATGTCAAGTCAAGTCAAGTCAAGTCACCTTTATTTATATAGCACTTTTAACAATACAGATTGTGTCAAAGAAACTTTACAGTATTAAATAGGAAAATAGTGTGTCAATAATGCAAAAGGACAATAGTAAACACTCAATATTCAGTTAAAGGCAGTTCATCATTGAATTCAGTGATGTCATCATCCAGCTCAGTTCAGTTTAATAGTATCTGTGCAATCAAGTCGACGATATCGCTGGAAAATAAGTGTCCCCAACTAAGCAAGCCAGAGGCGACAGCAGCAAGGAACCAAAACTCCATCGGTGGAGTATGTATGTATATGTAACATGTCACATATGAAGCCTCCAGATATCTCTTTCTTTCCCTCCTCCTCTATATTGCACATCTCAGCAAATTCAAGGGGTTTCAAGACACTCCAGAAGGCAGTTGTCTGATCTTATAACTGTCACCTCATGCCCTCTGCCAGGCTCCAATTCTGAGACATGACTGCTAATGTTGATTTGCATTCAGAGCAGACAAAGTAATAATTAATGGAGAGTTTAATAAATTAATAATTAAAATAATTATATTAAAACATTATATGATAGGCTCCAATGTCCCCTGGATTCTACAAAAGACAAGCAGTTTGGAAAATGGATGGATATTTTTAAAGGGGTCATATAATGCGATTTCAATTTTTCCTTTCTCTTTGGAGTGTTACAAGCTCTTGGTGCATAAAGAAGATCTGTAAAGTTGCAAAGACTAAAGTCTCAAATCCAAAGAGATATTCTTTATAAAACTTAAGAGTTAACCACGCCTACCTAAAACGGCTCGTTCTAACACGCCCCCACATATACGTCACTATCTGGGAAGATTTGCATAACGCCTAAAAGAAGGCGTAACTTTTATTCTCACTGTAGTATTGTTGCCGCCGCCGCCATGTCGTGAAGGTGCTGTGTGCTTCGTTGTGAAAGCGAAACTACTTTGTTTGGTCTTCCAAAAGAGGACGATATCACTTCGTCATGCCTGGAGCTGATTCGTGCTGGTCGCTGAGGAAATACTTCAACTTCACGCTGTGGATCGGACGAAGCGGAGTCCAGCCCGGGGTCGTCACATGTGGTTGCCGCAGGCATCACAATATGGTAAGGGACGTAACATTTCCGTCACACGCTTGAGGAATTCGGCCAATCACAAC